GCGGGAGGGCGGGTTAGTGACCTCTGGGTGACCGGCCCGCCGTGACCCGGTCACTCCATCGCCGATCCAACTAAAAGAGCGCTGTCTGTACGCCGTGAGCAAGATCCTCAAACGACGGTAGATAAACAGAGCTCACCTTTTGCTCGAATTCAATAATTTCAAAGAGTTTTATACAGTGAACGTGGTTCACCGCTTTCATGCATTTCAATTCTCTTGGGAGAAACTTTTCTTTGAAATCCTTTGGGGCGCTTCTCCTGTTGATTATTTTCATAGCGACTCTCTTTTGAAGTTTTTCGCTGTATGCACTCTTTACCTTTGCATAAGATCCCTCACCGATCGTCGTCCCTATGCTGTATCCAAGTTTCTTCAAATACACTTCATCGTCTGATGTAGCAAATTCTTTCACAACAGAATTAGTCATCTTTCAATAGAAAATTCATTCATGTAGATTTAGGTAAAGTCAGTCTCATAATTATCTATCGATAGAAAACATGATTGTCAGTGCAAAGATTAGGCCCAGATCTAATATTTGAAAGCAATACAGAAATGGCGGCACACTTTGTTGCATTGTATCTAATCGGAAACATTTGCTGCTCTCAAGTAAACATGTGTCGAACGTCATTTCTCAACAATGACGTCAGCCGGATACACAAAAGTGAGTTTTGCGTGTTGCTTTTGTGCCAATGCTTTTTTTTCATGGTGGCTTTTCGGAAATAAGCATGGATAATATTCCAAGTCCTCCGGACTTGAAAATGTTTTCCACTCCAGTTGGTAACTAGGCACCTTCCGTAAGTCGTAGATTTTTCAATGTAAGTGTTAGACGGATACTTCAAGATATATGTTGCCAGCAAAGAGAGCGAAGCTTGATATGGAAGAAGAAGGGGGACGCCTCCGCGTGTTAGAGGATGAACTGCAGGTAATCCAAGCGGAGGTTGAGCCCATAGAAGTCAAGAGATCTAGCACTTCCAGAACTGAGTCGGTCACTTACAGACCCACATACCGAGCAGTTCTAGCAAAGAACGGATACCTTGTAAGGAAAACTTTGGGCAACGGAAGCTACTCTAAGGTAAAGTTGGCAATCTCACTCAATAAATCCAAATCATTAGTCGCTGTGAAAATAGTCGACCGAAATAAAGCACCCAAAGACTTTCAAACAAAGTTTCTACCTCGAGAGTTAGATATCTGGCCAGGCTTGCGTCACCCTAACATTATCAAAGTCTTGGATGCTTTCGATGATGGTCGCCGCGTGTACATGATTCTAGAGTATGCAGAAAATGGCGACGTGCTGCGGTACATTCAAAAAGTCGGAGCTCTCTCGGAAAATCTTGCCAAGGGCTGGACTTGGCAACTGTGTGACGCAGTGCGCTATCTGCACGAGCTCAACATCACACACCGTGATTTGAAGCTGGAAAACCTGCTCCTGGACAAATTCTTCAACATCAAGCTCTGCGACTTCGGCTTTGTGAAAGGAGATTGCACGCGTACGATGAGTCAAACGTATTGTGGCTCAAAGTCCTACGCCGCGCCCGAGATCTTGAAAGGCGAGCCTTATGACCCCAAGAAGGCGGACATGTGGGCCATTGGCGTGATCCTGTATATCTTCGTCACGGGCAAGATGCCTTTTGATGAGAGCCGGGGGAACAGCGGGGTACTGGAGGAGCAGAAAAAGCTGGAGTTCCCTTGGCAAAAATACAAAAAGGCAAGAGAGAGAGAGAGAGAGAGAGAGAGAGAGAGAGAGAGAGAGAGAGAGAGAGAGAGAGAGAGAGC